TGAGTTACGAGCTCCGTCACGGAACGAATTAAACTTGTAAGTCAAGGCCCCACTGTATATAAAAGCCTAAGTGACCATTAGGACCGGATGACCAGACGACCAGATGACTGGCCAGTAGCTATGATGCACACTGACCACCAGGGAGCAGACACTCAATGCAGGAGCTGCCCCCTGGTAGTCAGTGCACTCCCACAGCCAACCTCCCATGGCTGGCCAACGTCTTGCGGTCCCTTCCCCTGGCCGGCCGGCCCGATTGGCCCTGATCTGGCCAGGCTGAGGGACCTCACCTGTGCACGAATTCATGCACCGGGCCTCTAGTGATCATAATAGTAGCTGTCTCCTCGGCCATCCTCAGAGGCTAAAGACATAGTCTAAAAAAATCCCTTCACACTCCTGGTCTAGTTCCTGAGCCCATAACCTTTATATTGTGCATGGGTTATGGGAAGCACTGAGTTTATATTAGTCCTTATTAAACTCTATGTTTAAAAAAATAAAATAAAATTTATTCATTAGTTTATAATGCTGATTAGAGAAAACGTTTAGTTTCCATTTTACTTGGTTCTTTGGAATTAGAAATAATAAATATTATCTAAAAATGGAAGAGACATGCTGCAAATAATTCAAAATAAGTGCTTATTAATCTCAAGTTAATTTTTCTTAACCAGTTTACATATGAATTGATAATAGTTGATAAGGTCAAGGCTAATTTTAGTATTAACATAACTTTTCAGGAATTCATCTTTTGTGTAAAACATGGATGCGTGAGTGTGCTGATAGTACGTTTCATTGCCTCTGATGCAGGAGGAGAAATTGCTTCACAGTTTAGTCATTGTATTTCTCACTGCTATTTTAAAATATAGGCAAGAGATCGAATAGCAGAATTTTTCCGAAGCCAAGCATTTATTTTCTACCATGGCTATAATAAAACTCTACCAGCTATGCATTTTATGGACCACAGTTTTCAAATGGCACGTATGGATAGCTGTCATCCAGGCTTTGGGAAAAATGAAGGTCTACACAGTAATTGTGCTACCTGTTGCGGTAATTATAATAAATATCTACAGATGATGTATTATAGAATTGTATACCTGAAACCTATATAATTTTATTAACCAATTCCAATAAATGTAATAAAAATTATATATTTATATAGATATTAATATTTAGGGTACTTAGTCAGAAGAACAAATTAATAATTCACTTAAGATAATTGAATTGAATCTTTATAGCAATCCTCTTACAAAAAAAGTCATATTTAACCAAAGAAAAGTAAAAATTCAAAGACCAAATTTCTAAATATAATTATCTTCATCTGTATTAATTCTTCCTAATATACTCCTTTATATTACAGAACATTTCTATAGTGTTCTGACTTACGCTACTATACTGTGAAGGAACACAGAATGGTCCTACCTAGAAAACAGAATTGGAATTAGGAACTAGAGAATTAGGCAGCCGAAACCGGTTTGGCTCAGTGGATAGAGCGTTGGCCTGCGGACTGAAGGGTCCCTGGTTCGATTCGGTCAAGGGCATGTACCTGGGTTGCGGGCACTTCCCCAGTGGGGGATGTGCAGGAGGCAGCTGATCGATGTTTCTCTCTCATTGATGTTTCTAACTATCTCTCTCCCTTCCTCTCTGTAAAAAATCAATAAAATATATTTTTTTTAAAAAAAAAGAGAATTAGGCATAGGAACTCATAAATGGGGCACTGCAGAAGATACTATAAAATGCTGATACTAATGGGAAAGATGGGATTCTAACTTTCTCCTGCCTTTAAAATTATTAAATTACAATGTTTGAAATTCGTAAATATTCTCTATAACTTACTTGACAGAACATTACTCAATATATCATAGGTTTAGAAGGGATGTGTTATTAAAGGCAGCTTTACACTATTGGTATAAAATACCTCTATTTGAAATTATAATAATCTACTCCATGTGCTTTCCTCTGCAGTGGTTTGCAGTCCTGGGACTTTTAGTCCTGCTGCTGATGTTACTTGTCACACTTGCATTTCCATCCTTGCCTACGGAGCTAAATTTTGTCCATAAACTTCAAACGAAAATTGCAATATGAAGACTAGAGGTGAAAGCATTGCTACTTGCTTGTGGAAGTGGGGGACATAAGATTTGTTCACATCCCAGAGCATCATAGTTCCATTAAGAAAGTTCAATGAGACCAAAACGTTGGAAAACATACATTTTAGAAACTAAAAAAGAAAAAAAAGATAGTTGACATGGCATTTCTAAGAAGGCATTTAATCTAATATCTCCATTGTACAAAGGAATGTGTATTTAGTGGATGATTTTTAATGAAATGTTTTGTTTACAAACTGAATCTGTTGCTCTGTGCCTAAGACTATATTAAGGTCAAGAAGAGTAGCAAAGTATAATACAATAAAAACTTTGTACTTTCCATATATTAATTTGCTTGAAATCACTTATACAATATAAAGGCATATATATTATTTTTGTATTTAGAAGCAAAAAGTTCTTTTTTTTTTTGGCCGCAGGCTGATGCTCTATCCACTAAGTGAAACCAGCTAGGGCACTTCTTTATATCTTTGATTGAACAAAAGTCTTTAATGTTAATATAGTTATAATTTTGCCTTTCACATTTAGGTCTGAAATATACCTGGAATTTTTAGATATGCTGGGTGGTAGGAATCAAATTTCATTTTTTATCCACGTGGTTACCCAATTGTCCTGGACCATTTATTGAAAAGTCTAGCCTTGACATATGTTCCCCTCTCTCTCAATTTCTTCTTAAAACACTCCCTTTAACATTTCCTGCAATGCTAGTAAAAAAAATAAAGGAAAAGTCTAGCCTTTCCCCACTAATCTGTAATGATACTTCTCCCATATATCAAGTGTCTGTTTATGCATGAGAATCTATGTCTGAGCTGTATGTTGTTTCTGCTTATTCTTGCTCATAGTGTCATTTCCTTGTATGCTTTGTTATTTTTTACTGGGAACCACTCTTGTCCTTTAAATGTTTTCTGTGGAAATGAAAATAACTTCCTCCAGAAAAGATTTGTGTTTAGTTCTGACAGGTATCTGGGTACACAACCAATCCTGTTCCCTCATAAACTAAGTCTGCAATTTGAGATACTCTGAAACACCCAGATGATGAAAATGCAGGCTAAGTTCTGTGAAAAGACTAGCCTACGGCCACAATATTTCAGAACTTTTGTTTTTTTTTATAAACCTCTTCTTCATTCAATCCCAAAAGTCTTCCCCACAGTTTCCTGCAGGTGAGGCCAGGGCTGTGGGTTTACTGATGGTTCACCCTTACCTTAATGAGATTCCAGTTTAATATGGAGAATGTCTCCTTTTATTAGACTCCCCATCTTGGATGGGTCCTTGGCCTTGACTTCTGGACTACAAGGCTGGCCAAACTGAAGCCCCAACTTACTCAGATTTGCAGATCTCGGCCCCCTTTACCTGGGGTAAAATTGTATTAGTGTTCTGATACTTCATTTATCTCCGAGGTCTCCTTTTCACTTATATTTTGGCTTGAGCTTCTATATCTTGTCAGTAAGTACATGCTTTTTGAGTGTTTTGCCCTGGCCTAGCTCAGTTGGTTAAAGCATTGTCCTGATAAGCCAAGGTTGTGGGTTCGATCCCAGGTCAGAGCACATACAAGAAACAACCAATGAATGCATAAATAAGTGGAAGTACAAATGGATGTTTCTCTCTCTCTCTCTCTCTCTCTCTCTCTCTCTCTCTCTCTCTCTCTCTCTCTTCCTTTCTCTAAAATCAATAAATTTAAAAAACCAATGTTCTTTCATTTGCTCAGCATTATGTCTGTGAGAGTCATCCATGTTGTTATGTATAGTAGTAATTTGTTCTCTTTTATTGTATAAATATAGCACAATATATGTATCCATCCTAATGTTATTGGACATTTGAAGAGTTTTTAGCTTGCCTCTTATATTAACGTTTTTGTATATGCGTGTCTTTTGGTGAATATGCACACTCATTTCTCTTGGGTATATACCTTGGAAGTGGAGTTGCTGGGTCATAGGCATATGTTTAGTTTTGGTAGATACTGTTAGTCTTCCAAAGTGGTTGACCAATATATACTCCCAACAGCACTTATGAGAATTCCTGTTGCATATAATATTTTTACAAACTTAAAAGAAAAAATAACTCTAGTTCAAAAGATACAAAATAAATCTATGTTATATCACCCTAGCTTCATGTTTATTTTTTTAATTTATTTTTTAAATATATTTTTATGGATTTCAGAGAGGAAGGGAGAGGGAGAGATAGAAACATCAATGATGAGAGAGAATCATTGGTCGGCTGCCTCCTGCACGCTTCCTAACTGGGGATCAAGTCCACAACCTAAGCATGTGCCTTTGACCAGAATCAAACCTGAGACCTTTCAGTCTGCAGGCTGACGCTGTATCCACTGAGCCAAACCGGCTAGGGCTAGCTTCATGTTTAAATTACCATTTTAAAAGCTGTTGCATGCTGGAACCGGTTTGTCTCAGTGGATAGAGCGTTGGCCTGCGGACCGAAAGGTCCCAGGTTCGATTCCGGTCAAGGGCACGTACCTGGGTTGCGGGCACATCCCCAGTAGGAGATGTGCAGGAGGCAGCTGATCGATGTTTCTCTCTCATCAATGTTTCTAACTCTCTATCTCTCTCCCTTCCTCTCTGTAAAAAATCAATAAAATATATTAAAAAAAAAAAGCTGTTGCACAGGAAAAATGTTAACATACCCCAAAATGTGAATAGTGGTTGTATATTAGATGGAAAAGAGGATCAACTTTGACTTTGAGAAATATTTGAAATCCTTTATAACAAGCATATGTCTTTTACTTTTAATTACATTGTCTTAAAAAATATTAAATAGAACTAAAAGGCACTCCTCAGCCCTGCACCTCCCAGCTTGCACTCCTTTAATGACTTTCTAGCTTCCAAAGATGTGTTGAAATCCCTTACCTGCTGCCTCACTCCTTTTATTCTTGTGGGTTTATGTCTTTTCTATTGCTTTACTGTCGTTAAGTGAAGTTTCAAGAAGGAGAGGAAATAAATATGATCAATCTTCCACTTTTAATCAGAATTCTATGCATACAATCCAGTCTGGTTTTGTACATTATCATGTGGGGAATGGGATGTATCGAAGAAGAGCCAGGTGCTTGTTCTAAAGACCTCATTCTGGTGACTTGGGGAAGGTGTGGGGGTGAGGATGGACTGGGAGGGGAGCACCCAGAGGTGTGTGGGGAGAATGGTTAAAAAGCTAAGTTCACTCAATGGTTACAGCATCAGCCTGCAGACCAAAGGGTCTCGGGTTCGATTCCTGATCAAGGGCATATACCTTGGTTGCAGGTTCCCCAGTCCCCTTAGGGGCACATGCGGGAGGCAATCAATCAATGTGTCTCTCACGTTGATGTTTCTCTCTCTCTCCTCACCTACTCCCTCCCTTCCACTCTCTCTAGAAAGTAATGGAAAAAATATTCTCGGGTAAGGATTGAAAAAAACAAAGAGCTAACAGGAAGGCACAGAGGCAGGCTTCTCAGCTGCAGCAGGATGGAGACAGCAACAGAGAGGGCATAGAGCGTCTCAAGGGCACAGCCCACATCACAGGGCTGCTCACCCCAGCTCTGCTCCAGGACAGACTCCACCTGGAAGGAAACGCACCAGACTGTAAAAGCTAGAAACATAGAAATATACCAGCAATGGCTAATACTTGGCCACCCACACTCCTGAACCCTGAGCCCACGGCAGACACAGTCATCCAGCAGGGCCCTCTTTCCTGCAGGCCTGGAGAGCCTGATACTCTCAGCATAGTGACAGGTACTGCTAACCAATCAGTTTGGCACTTAAGATGGTACCAACTGCCTCCTGGGACTAACAGTTACACACACACACCCCCTCTCTTGCACATTCCTAATTGTCCCAGAAACTATATGCCACAAACCAGCTTGATGGACATGAGCTGACAAAGAACTACAAAGTCAGGAGGGACAGAATCCTGGGACTTCTGGGTCCCTTGAAAGCATAGGCATTCACTTCTACTAAGGCCTGGCCCTCAGCCCAGACTCTCTTACCCGGTCCTTCATCAGGGGCAGGGTCCCCTTCTTTAGGGTCTCAGCCATAAGCTCCTTCTCCTCAGACAGCTCTGAGGGTAAAAAAGAGGGAGAGGCACATAGTGGGACAGGGCTTCAGTGTCTGATCAGACCCAAGACAAGCATGAGAAGAGGTTCCAGAGAGCTCCTGGGAGTGCGAGATGGGAGTATTTCCAAATGGGCTCCTGCTGTGGCTCCTGTTTCCCTCTTAGCCTCCAGGAGGTCAGAGACTGTGCCAAGGGGGAAGAGGAGGCAGTCCCTCAACCCCTGGTCTGGGGAAATGGCCAGTTTCTGAAATGTGATGGTTTATTCCTCACAAGAGGTAAAGGCAGTGTGTAACACCCTCCTGCCAAGACTTGCTCCCCACAAACCCCTCTGCTCAGCATGTCCTCCACATCAGCATCCATCCAGACTCCTCCTCACCCTTCAAGGCTTCCAGGAACTCCAGAGTGGCTTCTACGCGTGCCTCAACCAAGATGCCAGCAGCATTAAAAAGGCTACTCAGGAGAGGACCTGCTGGGCCCTCCATCTACAGCTCATCGGAGGTCAGGACTTTAGACACCTATGGCCAGGAGATGGGAGATGAGCACAAATCCCACTAAAGCAGATTGTCTGCAGTGTGTCCGCTGCCCTCCACCTAGCCTTCTCCCTCTCGCTGCCCAAGTTCTTTCTTGGGTCTCTTACTTTTTCATCTAGATCCTTCAGCTCCTCGTCTGTGGTGAGGCACTGAGTGAGGTAGCTTAGCACATCTTCTCGCTCCTCTTCAGTCAGATCCCGGAGACCACTCACTGTGTCCTGCACCTTCTCCTTCATGTTTCTTAAATCCTCCAAGTTCAAAGACTTTCCTCTAGAGGCAGCAGTGAAGAACCCAACCTACCCAGCCCAACAAGCTCCATTACCAAGACCCTACTCTTCGTCTATGTTTCTTCTGGAGAACACTTCTGTATCTTCCTCTAATCTTTTCCTGTTAAAATGAAGCACCTTTCTTCTCAAACACCCACCATCATTGCTGCCCGCTTACCCCACTTCCATCTCCCTAGCTCACCCCCAGTCTAGTACCAACCCCAAATTCTTCTCCACCTCCCGGAAATCAAAGCTTATTGAGTCCTTACCTTTCAAAGTGAAGTCTTGAGATCACACTAAGAGTAGTGAGGATTTCGAAGAAGTTAGAGCAGTGGTTCTTAGCCTTGACTGTACATGAGAATCACCTGGGAAGTGATTTTAAAAATCCTGATGCCCAGGCCATACCCCCAGATCAATTAAATCAGAATTTCTGGAGGTGGCACTTGGGCAACACTACTTTTAAAGTTCCCCTAGGTGATGTCTATGCACAACCAATGTGTTTGTTTAGAGGAGACAGATGCAACCCCCAGACTAATGCTAAAACCTGCTTTGGGCCCTGACCTACCTTTCTCCCCTCAAGCTCTCCCCGCCCCAACCCACACACATACATACTCAGCCACCCCACCTGAGCTCCAGTCCTTGAGGCCAGAGGGCTCAAGGGTGAAGGGTGCAGCCACCCTGAACATAGCTGGCTCCCATCCTTACCTAAACAAGATGAACCACCTTCTTCCTCTGCAAAGAAAGGAAAAGTCATCTCAGAGAGTACTGAGGTCACCTGCAGCCCCCTGTTGATATTCTCTTCCCAGTGATGAAAGTTTTCATTCCTGGACTCTGGGCCCTCACTGCCCATACCAGGAGCCTGTGTCCTCCTCCTCGTGTGTAAATGACAAGCACTATATTTGCAGACCCATTTCCACATCCTCAGAGATAGGCAGCCAGAGGACTATGCATAGATGATTGAAAAAGAAACAAGCCCAGAGAAGGTGTAGCATGCTGCCAGTACTCAGCAAACATGTCAGAGCAGGGCCTGGGATCTATCTCCCGACTCTTCTGTTCCGGCACATAGAATGACAGAGATTCACTCCTCCGAGGTAGCAAGGCCTTGCCAGGACTGAACCTGTAACTTTTAAACCAGGAAGTCATGGTTCAATTCCTGGTAGGGGCACATGCCTGGATTGCAGGCTTGATCCCCCAGTGTGGGGCGTGCAGGAGGCAGACAATCAATGATTCTCTCTCATCATTAATGTTTTTATCTCTCTCTCCCTCTCCTTTCCTCTCTGAAATCAATAAAAAATATATTTTTTTAAAAACAGAAAACAGGCCTTCTAGAAAAAAACTGGGCTCCCTTAGAAAAATTCCAAAGACTCCTCCTTAACAGTACGACGGTAAGGAGAGGTAGTTCCAAGGATCAGAAAAATTTCACTGTAAGCCTTTCACTTTTTAAATATATTTTATTGATTTTTTACAGAGAGGAAGGGAGAGAGATAGAGAGTTAGAAACATCGATGAGAGAGAAACATCGATCAGCTGCCTCCTGCACATCTCCTACTGGGGATGTGCCTGCAACCCAGGTACATGCCCTTGACCGGAATCGAACCTGGGACCTTTCAGTCCGCAGGCTGACGCTCTATCCACTGAGCCAAACCGGTTTCGGCTCACTTTTTAATTAAAAAGGAAAAACAAAGGCATCCATCCATTCAGGGAGGGCTCACCCAGGAGAGCCATGGGGCCCCCTTTCCTGAGCTGCTCCACAGTTTCCAACAAGTCCAGCAGAGGAAGAAAACACCACCACCAGCACCAAAACAACTGCTGAGGGGAAGGCTGGTGATGTCCTTGAAGTCCCTTGGAAGCACCTCAGCTATCAGACTCTGTGGCACTTGGAGCCACCCAGGTTGGGTGGGGTGGTGGCACTTTCTGTGCAGAAAATGTCCTACAGGGGTGCTTTATTTGGTTTCACCTCTGTCCTCTTACTGAGTGCTGGCAATAAACCCAGAGACTGAAATAAGCACAAATACAGATTTGGGCAACTCAGTATAAGAAAACAGAGGAAAGCGGCCTCTTGAAACCAGTACGTTTTGGTTCAAGCCAGAGAAATCAGTCACCCTCGAGGGCAGCAGGGATGTGAGTGAATTGAGGGCATCAGAAGATTTCCTGATCCTGGGAGAATGAGAAGGTGGAGAAGAGCATGGCATGCTTGAGTAAAGGAGTGGGTGGGAGTGAGGCTGCCCCCACTCAGATGCCCTTGGGGCTTCTCCTCTTCCTTCTCCCCACTGCTGCCCACCTCCAGCCTCACCTGTCCTGGAGGGAATCCAGATATGGCTGGATATCCTGGACCACAACATCGTGATGTCATGCTTGTGGGACTCTTGGAAGGCCCCTTCGACTAATTCCCCTGGGCAATTTCACTGTCGACTCCCCTGTTGAGTCTACCACATCCACAGCTTGGAACGCAGCCTTTAAACCTGGAAAGAGAAGGATAGAGGTCACACTGATCTCTGAATTTCCAGAGAAAAACGCATTTTGGAACTGGTGAGACATGACAGAAGTGGAAATAGTGCCTGGAATCAGTCTTGTATGTGCGACACCAATGTCTCAACCCCCCTTTTTTTCTTGAGCAATGTAACAGTTTGCATGTACTTTATCAGAGAGAAAAGAAAAAGCAAGCCTTATGCACACAAAGAGTACAGCATAGAAAGGGGGATAAAAGACTAATTTTATAGGGGAGACATGATGAACACTACCTCAGCCAGGTGACCAAGGTAAAGATCAATAGTGAAAGTCAATTTGATAGTCCATACCCTTGATATAGTGTAGGGAGAATAGCTCTACCTCTATGGTCTTCCTTCCCCAAACCCATTATTATCTCAGTCCAACCATGAGAAAAAGGCATCAGACAAATTCCAATAGAGAGGCATCCTACAATATGCCCTTAAAACTGTCAAGATCATCAAAAACAAGGAAAGTCTGAGACACTGTCACAGCCAAAAGGAGCCTGAGGAGATATGACAACCAAAGGTAATGCGGTATCTTGGCTGGGGTCCTGGAACAGGAAAGGGATATTAGGTAAATTAAGATAATCTCAATGAAGTGTGGACTTTAGATAATAAAAACAAACAAACAACCCACCCCTACGCATGCTTTAACAACACCAGGGGCACCATGCAGTTAAAAGAATAAAATAACCCCCCTGAAAAGGGAGCAGGCCAAGTTGCTAAAGATCAATTCAAATGACCAATTCACTTCATTCCTATGGATTTTTTTTAAAGTTTGGTTTCACCTCCGCCTCTGAAAGTTTTATGCAAACAGACTTTCCCTTTAAGGAAGTTAAACTGACTTAGTCAAATTTTTATGATCGTGGCAAAACACCTTGGTTGCTTTAGTAAACTCCAATATGAAAACAGCCGCTGCCTCCAAGTAATCTGGACACCGTTCTGGGTCACGCGACAGCAGTGCCTGGCATGGCAGGTGCTCTAAAACTGCACAGTGGGACGGTCAGAATTGTCTGCCATCTCAGGATGACACCCAAATGGGCGACATTCGAGTCGTCTGAGCTGTAAAACTCCTCTCCGTGAGGTGTGAGACACTGTCATGTCTTCAAGTGAGGGTTCAACAACACTCACCCTGGGGCTTCTCAAATCCAGAAAACCCCAAGAAGAGCTAAGTGTGGAGGCAGGGGGTGGAACATACTCCTCCAGGAGCCCCCTCCAGCCCTTGGTGAGTTCTGCTCACCAGCTACTTAGTCATGATCTCCGGGGAACACGAAGGGAGAATCATGACTGCCACAGCAGAATGACCTGGTGAACTTTGAGTGTTCCTCTGTGCAGGCGCTGTGATAAATGATTTACGTAATTTATCTCATTGGATTTTTGCAACTGTCTTGCTCAAGTTAACAGATGAGAAAACAAACTTGTTCAGAGGTCACCCAGCTGGTAAGTGGTGGAGCCAGGCTTAGAAACCACATGTCCCCAGCTCTGAAGCCTGCATGTTTTCTTAACCACTAAGCAAATGACCTCCATTTCTGTACCCGCTTAAGTGATAAACACGTAAGCACATGAGAAGACATCAGCTAATTTTAAAACAAATTATTTACAAAGGGAAAATTGGGAAAGAAAGACTATTTATGAATAATTTCCAAGAAAAATAAGTTTCCGCCCGACCGGTGTGGCTCAGTGGTTGAGCGTCGACCTATGCACTAGGTCAGTGATGGCGAACCTTTTGAGCTCGGTGTGTCAGCATTTTGAAAAACCCTAACTTAACTCTGGTGCCGTGTCACATATAGAAATTTTTTTATATTTGCAACCATAGTAAAACAAAGACTTATATTTTTGATATTTATTTTATATATTTAAATGCCATTTAACAAAGAAAAATCAACCAAAAAAATGAGTTCGCGTGTCACCTCTGGCACGCGTGTCATAGGTTCGCCATCACTGCACTAGGTAGTCAGGGTTCGATTCCCAGTCAGGGCACATGCCCGGGTTGTGGGCTTGATCCCCAGTGTGGGGCGTACAGGAGGCAGCCAATCAATGATTCTCTCTCATCGTTGATGTTTCTCTCTCTCTCCCTTCCTCTCTGAAATCAATAAAAATATATTTTTTAAAAAAAGAAAAATACCCCTAACCGGTTTGGCTCAGTGGATAGAGCGTCGGCCTGCAGACTGAAGGGTCCCAGGTTCAATTCCGGTCAAGGGCATGTACCTTGGTTGTGGGCACATCCTCAGTAGGGGGTGTGCAGGAGGCAGCTGATCGATGTTTCTAGCTCTCTATCCCTCTCCCTTCCTCTCTGTAAAAAAAAAATCAATAAAATATATTAAAAAATAAAATAAAATAAAATAAAATTCCACTTCCCCATTCCCATCTCGCATACAGCTCTTTTGTGCATTTCTTAAACTGAGGAGTGTGGATGTGTTCACACAAATTCTACAGTGTCTTTGTTGACTGGTTGACTTGGTTGCTGGCAGTGGGGAGTTGAGGGTGGGGCGCAGTAGGAGGGGGCAAAGTTTCCTGGCTGGTCATCTCTCCTGTACCTCATAATGACCGGGAAGCCCAGAATCCAGCTCATCACACTGCCCTTCACCCTCGTCACTCTCCAGTATGCCCTCCAGCGTGAGGGCTGTTCTGTAGTAAAGGCGTGTATTCATCCCCATCACCAGACAGAAACAATGAAACTTGTCAGCATCAAGGACGCTTCTGACTTCAATCATATCGCCTCCAGCATCCAACTCCTGGACCACAGCTCTTGTGATTGTCTTAAATACGCTGGGCATTGTGCCTGGACCAACTGGGAAAAGGAAGCCAAGTTCAGTTGGGGAGATACTAGCTCAGGGTTTTAATCTGCCTTAGGCAGGTTGGGGTCAAGGAAGATCCAAAGGCTCTAGGACAACCAGGACTTGGGATTATTTGCCTTCCCTGTTCCTGCCCCTCATGGAATCCTTCTGGAGGAAGGATGGAGCAGTGATTGCCCTAAATGGAAACTAGGACCTGTTTTCTGCATCTCCCGCAGCATAGCTGTCCCCTTGCCCAGAGGGACCTTGAGGAGTGGGAAGGCAGGCCCTCCATCCCCTAGACCAGCAGTGGGCAAACTACGGCCCGCGGGCTGGATCCGGCCCGTTTGAAATGAATAAAACTATTGAAAAAAAAGACCGTACCCTTTTATGTAATGATGTTTACTTTGAATTTATATTAGTTCATACAAACACTCCATCCATGCTTTTGTTCCGGCCCTCTGGTCCAGTTTAAGAACCCATTGTGGCCCTTGAGTCAAAAAGTTTGCCCACCCCTGCCCTAGACTCTCCCCAGTGTTGATAAGCAGAGGACCCAGAAAGGAATGAGGGGCAAATGATTACTTCTTCCTTTGGTTCTGACTCCTGGGCCTCCCTTCCTTGCTATGTTCTGCAAGGCAGTCATGATCTCCATAAAGAAGTATGAAGAACCAACCATTTCCCAACAAGTCGGCCTCAGAAGGAAACAAAAGAGAGGGACTGAGTGCAAGAGTGGCTTGGAGCTGGGCGCCCTGGCCAGCCACCTCCAGGTCCTCTCTCCTCAGTGTCAGGTCACCTTCTGAAGGGTCCCCCTACACTGGATAAACTAAAATGAATTCCACAATTCCATCTGGGGCATCTCCCCCCACCCACTCTCCCCTTCAAACTCTCCTGGTCTAAAGTTGGCCCCTGTACCGCTCTATCTCCCCTGCTCTGTGGGACCTTCCACAGGCTCGTCACCAGTCCAGTCTGACACAGCTGCTCCCTCCCCGTTTCTATTCAGCAGCAGCTCTTTGTCCCCACCACTTTATCTCTAAATACTTCTTACTCTCTCCCCTTCCATCAGTCACTCAACAACTCCTTTCTTTTAAGATCTCTTTCCCTTTCCTCAGGGCTCCTTGGCGTCCCTCCTGGGGCCAAGGCTCCACTTCCCCATCTTTCCTCTGACCGCCTTCCCTTAAGTCCCACTGGCTGGCCAGGCACCTGCTCACCCAAGCTTTCTTTCCTGTCCCTGCCCCCATCATGGTGTCCAGCTCTCAACTCACTCCCAACCTAGGAATTCCTCTGGGTGTCTGGAAAGGCAGTGTGCCAGGGCCCACAGGCCCATGTCAGGTGCCACCCACCTCTCCCCTGTCCTCAACTACTCACCAGAAATGGAGGTTGTGAGAATCCCCTTTGTAAGGTCTCTACAATTCCTGGCCACTGTGTCTGAGGAAGCTATAACAAGGGAATTGAAAGGAGCTGGAAAGCTGATAGCCCCACCTATCAGACCTTTAGATAAGCCACATTATGGCTGAGCTGGAGGCCGGGAAGGCCAAAGGTAAGAAACCCTTTTCTCCTTTTGAACACAGGGAGCAGCTGGCGTATGTATAACTTTATCTCTAACTGATATATATTCTAGTTGATTAGGTGAGTTTGGGCCAGGGAATGGTGCCGAACAAGGCACACTAGGCCATGCAATTCAGTGAGTTTGGAATAAACAGAATATGGGTGGTACCAAGTGCCCGCAGGCAATGGCTACGGCTGTTAGGGATACGAGGGTGATCTAACCAGAACTAGGTACCCAGATGCCATGCAATGGTCGGTAACACTGATGACTCAAAGAGCAACAGTAACACCTGTAGAGACAGGCAGGGTCAAAAAGGAGGACTCAGGGTAAGGGGGAGAGATCAACCGAAGGACTTGTATGAATACATATAAACCTAACCAATGGACACAGACAACAAGGGGATGAGGGCATGAGTGGGGGGGTAGGGGGGCAGTGGGGGGATAAGGACACATATGGAATACCTTAATCAATAAAGAAAAAATAAATTAATAAATAAAATAATAAATAAATAAAGGACTCAGCCCTAGCCAGTTTGGCTCAGTGGATAGAGCATCGGCCCTCGGACTGAAGGGTCTCGGGTTCGATTCTAGTCAAGAGCGTGTACCTCGGTTGCAGCCCCAGTTGGGGTGTGCGCGGGAGGCAGGCAATTGAAGTATCTCTGTCACATCGATGTTTCTGTCTCTCCTCCTCTCTTCCACTCTAAAAATCAATGGGAAAATATCCTCAGGTGAGGATTAACATAAAACAAAACAAAAAGGAGGACTCAGCCTCGCTGCCCCCCTCACACAAGCTCCCATGTGGCCCTCTCAGGCCGATGCCACCTGCCTTCTTCACCCCTCCTTTCCCGGGGAGGGACCTCTGGCTCCACTCCTGGGTCAGAGACAATTCCTTGGTCAGAGATACTCACCAGCATGAGCCTGCCTGTCTTCTGGCCCCTGCCTCCCTCAGTTCCGAAAGAACATGTCAGGAGATGATGATGGTAGTAATTAATAATAATACTAATATGTCTACCACATATTTAGTGTTTGCTACATGCCAGGCATTGTGCTAATCCTCACAATAGCATTAAGAGGTATTGTCTTTTTTATTTTATTTTAGAGATATTTTCACATTTACCAGTTCATAGCATCACTATTTTTGTTATGTTAATCCTCACCCGAGGATATTTTTCCATTGATTTTTAGAGAAAGTGGAAGAGAGAGGTAAAGACAGAGAGAAACACTGTGTGAGAGAAACACATCGATTGGTTGCCTCCTGCATGTGCCCCGACCAGGACCCAGGCCAGGGAGGAGCTTGCAACCAAGGTACGTGCATGCCCTTGATCGAAATCGAACCCAGGACCCTTTGGTCCGCAGGCCAGTGTTCTATCCACTGAGCCAAACCAGCTAGGGCAAGAAGTATTATCTTTATACAGCAGAGGAAGAATCTGAAGCCCAGAGAAGTAACTTGACAAGGCCATAAAGCCAGTAAGCAGCAGAGCTGGGATTTGAACCAAATCATTGCTGATGCGTCCCAAGCTCTCACCTGACTGCACTCTTGAGGGTCCACGGAAGCTCCCAGGGCGCCCCACCTCTAGGACTGAGCCCAAGTGGCTGCATTTCTCCTCCCAGTGCTGTGTGAGCCTCACTCTGGGGCAGCAGAGGTGATGTACTCTTCCTGACACCCACCCCACGGACTGTGATGCTGGACCAGGGCCAGAGAGGAGCCCAGGCTGCCGGGAGCAGCTCCTCCCTTCCGCCCAGGACTTTGTACCTGTCCTGGGAATAGCAGACAGTTGCTGCTCAGAATAAACTGAAAAGCTAGGAACCTTGGAGATAAGAATTCAGAGATAAGTTCCCTGCTAAAGGACTCCCTCTCTGGCCACGTGAGCCTAACTAGAAGTCCTGGGGGTTACCTCTGCCCCTCCCACTCATGCTTACCCGTGGGGGGAAAGAAGCATGAAGATCCTCTAAGACACAAAGGCCAGGAGGAGGTGCAGCCCTCCCAGAGAGGGAGGACTCGGGGGAGAGTCAGAACGGGGGAGGCATTCAGAGGAAAAGATGGGGCACCCCTCGGACTCTGACTTCATTCCTGAAGCCACTGCTGGACTGACCTCCTCCCTGGCCATGGCGTAAGCCATCTCTCTGCCGGCCCAGCCTGTGGAGTCCGGAGGTGGAAGTTCTGTCCCGAGGTTCGAACAGCCAGGCAAAGTCACAGAAGAGAGTTCTGCGCTCCGCCTGTGGCTGCTTTGTTCCCTCACAACTCCTTGCTCTGCTGGGGACCGACCACAGGGAAAGCAGGGGTCCCAGGGCCCTTCCACCATCCAGGCAGACGGCCCAACCGAGGCTCCCACTCCCCTGCCCCTTCCCCCAGGGCCCTCTAGGAAGCAGAGGCCAGACTCAGGAACACATTGTCCTTTATTTGTGTTTCTCAGAATACTGTACAAAGGGAGTAAAAATCCTATTCACACTTTGCTTAGAAAGATTTTGAGGTGAAAGTCCCTATGATACATGGGGTGGGGGACCAAGAGGCAGGAAACAGAGCCAATGACCTCCCCTCGTCCCTCAGGGCCCTGGGAGGGGGAACGGGCGCCCACACCTTTTCAAAAGTAACACAGACCCTAGTGAGATTGGGGAGGGAGAAGGCGGCTCCTCCCAGCCACGCTCAGGCTCCTGCCCACCTCTCTTCCCCTCAGGGTGAGGAGACAGCGCCTGCCACTCCTCGCTCCTTCCCTGCCCTGCACCAGCAGGGCCCAGGCAGGACTCTGCAGCCCACTGACCCCTCCGGGGTGGCCTCGATAGCCCCACATGTGCATGTCACACGAGAGGCCCTGCCCCAGCGCACGTCTACACAGAGAGGCTGTGAGGTGAAGGACCGCACCATTCATCATGTCTGTCCATTTCCCCGCGCCCCTTACAATACTGCAGAGGGCAGTGTCAAACCAGACCTGTGCGTATAACAACTTATAAGCCTCTTACACCCATGTCCACCCCATCACACCAACCCAGGAGCTTCAAACCCACAGCAGTCACCCTTCCTATTACCCCCTCTGACCACTTCCCAAATGGCGTTGTCTAGCTTCTGTCCCCTCCCTCCTTCCCTCCCACCAATCCCTGCTGCTAAGTGACCCCCTTTTTCTGAATCTCAACTCACCATGCCTACCCCTTCTCCTACCCCGCCCCGCCTCCACCAGGGCAGGATGGCAGCAGCCCTGGCCCCCTCACCTCTGGGACCAGGCTGTCCCTGCCCAGCCCCACCATCTCTCTCCTTACCCTCCCCACTCCCACCCACTACCCAGGGTGGGTTGCAGGGGAGCTGACAAAAGCATGAGGCTTTGATTAGATGCACTCGACCAGAGGGATTAGGTACCATCACCCACTGGCTTTCATAAATACAAGCACACACTGCGAATCATCCTAAAAACTTGAGAACTAAAGTGAAACAATCTAGAAGCTGTACCGTACCCTCATGGGGGTTAAAGTGCTTCAGCGGTCTGAGAATGAGCAAGTGAGCAGGGGGTTTCCCTGGTCTCTTGTTCCCAAGCTCACAGGTCTGTGCTCAGCCTGGAGCCCAGCTCATGCCATGACCACCCCCTCGGAGTCTCTATCCAAAAGGCAAAAGAAAAATATTTTTTAAAAATCAGAAGGGTCAGAGTCCGGGGGATGAAAAGGGGGTGGGGGGGAGGTCCCACCCCAACCCCGCTACAAGCTACTTCAAGTCAGCTACTGGGGGAAGTGAGGGGGGGAAATTAGGGCCCAGAGGCTCAACCCCCATCTCTGGCCGTATCCAGAGGCTCCTCTGTCTTCAGCAACACAGCACAGGCTCTACTCCGCTCCTGCCATCTGGACAGGGAAAGA